AATGGCAATTAGCTTCATTCAATTTTTTTTTAATTTTCAGACCATACATTCCATATGTACTGAGGGAAAAAATGATCAAATGCCTTTCGATCGCTGCCTAGTTTCAAGTCCAATTGATCCTTCTATAGCAAGAATCAGATTCCAGGTGATACTTGTTATCACTGTAGCCCTGTATATATTCTATTGGGCTGACTTAATCCAAAGCAAACTTCTACAAAAGGTGCTACTTCCTTCTCAGTCCAAAAAAACTCTAGCCTGCCCTGACCTAGAGCTGATTAAAAGTGCTGGATCCACCTTGTGGTACCAATCAAGGTGACACAAGATTATCCCTAAAATTAACCCAGCCTCTCCAGACCAAGAAAACAGATAACCCACCCTAGGTCCAAGGTCATACTCTGTGCTAGGCAAAGAGCTAAGATAATGTTCCGGAAAGTCTTCATTTACTGCATTTCCAGTTTCCCCTCCTCGAGCACAAAAGCAGACATCCCTCAAGAAAGGGGAACTGCTCCAACAGTGAAACAACTCAGGAGTTCACAACAAACCTCCAAATTAGAAAGAAAAACAATAGTATCATACTCTTTTTGATTACTTACAAGCATCCTTCAGATGCAGCTAAAGAATTCTTCCTAAGTCAAAAGACAAATGACTTATAATCAAGATATTAGAGCTAATGTTTTCCTGGTGGTAAGTGACCTTCTTGTATGGAAAGACTCCTGAAGTCTGGGAACCTAATAGAGCAAATGTATACATTTGGATAAGAACACAAACCTAAGAAGGTCAACGGTGGCTCGTGCCTATAATCCCAACTACTTAAGAGGCTGAGATCTGGAGGATTGTGGGTGGAGGCCAGCCCAAGCAGAAAAGTTCACTAGACTCTATCTCTAACATAAGCCAACAAAAAGCCCAGCTAGAGGCTTAGCTAAAGTGTTAAAATACCAGCCTAACAAGTGTGGTACCCTGAGTTCAAACCTCAGTACTGCCACATAATACACACACACACACACACACACACACACCCCTGGAAGATTTCTGGACATAAATGTAAGATCCCCATCTCAACCAAGAGCAGGAAATAGCATTTATTTCCATTATGCTAGCTACATGGGAAGTATAAATAGGCAGATCACCTACCCAGCTAGCCTGAGCATATGCAGGAGACCTTATTTGAAAAAGTATTGAGGGCAAAAAGGGTTGGGGACATTGCTCGAGAGGTAGAGCACCTGTCTGCCAAGGTCAAAACTGTGACCCAGTTCCAAAGGAAGGAAGGAAAGGTAGGAGGAGGAAAGAAGGAAGAAAGGAAAGAAGGAAGGCAGAGAGAGGAAGGGAAGGAGGTAGGGAGGGAAGAGGAAGGGAAGGAAGGAAGGAAGGAAGGAAGGAAGGAAGGAGCCACCACCAATCAACAAATCACATCAATACTGAGTCTCCCCATCAGACCATTATCCGTGCAGTTCAAAAGCATTTCTCTTATCATCTCTCTGTTCAAAACCAGGAGAAAAGGCAGAAGTTGAAAAATGTGTAAGTGGAGGAAGAGGCATAATGAATGTTCATTGGGACCTTGTGGAAGACACTAGATTCATTTCTCTGAGTTCTCAGTAAAGTCTTGATCATAAACACCAAACTGCTCTATGCATGGGTGTCAACACCCACAGCTTCCAACTCTAGCTACTGTCAGTGACCTAACCAAAAAAAAAAAAAAAAAAAAAGCTGGGTGGTGGTGGTTCATGCCTATAATCCTAGCTACTCAGGAGGCTGAGATCTGAGGATGGAAAGCCAACCTAAGCAGGAAAGTCCATGAGACTCATCAGCAATTAACTACCAGAAAACCAGAAGTGGTGCTATAGCTCAAAATGGTAGAGTGTTACCCTTGAACAGAATTGCTCAGGAACAGTGCCTAGGCTGTGAGTTCAAGTCTTACACTGACAAAGAAAAGAAGGGAAAAGAAAAAGAAAGGAAACCATGGTTCATAAAGCCACAGAAGCCTCTGGCCTCTTTTTTCTCCCATTTTGACCATTTACTGTCTGCCATACAATGCTGCTAGATTCCTCCTCCCTACCTCTTAGGGAGAGGCCTGGCCTTTCTTTTTGAACACCGGGCCATTCTGTACCAGCTTTCCTTCTCAGCTCTAAGTTCAAGATTTCTCGCTATTCTTTTTCTTATTGTTCCATTCCCCTTGCAAGGAGGTTTAAACTTTTTTTTAATCCTAATAACCCTCCTTTCCCCCCACAAAATCTTAGTATTGCAGATAATTGAACGTCTGTTATTGTCTTGCTGCCCTTTGGAGAACCACAATAAATGTGCTAAGGTTTGTCCTGCCCCTGACCCGGAACCAACCACTGGAGGTATGTGGTATAAGCACTGGGCAGGCAGCAGGGCTCAGGAGGGCTGGGCATGAGAGCCAGGATGAGCTACAGGAGAAGCCACAATCCATTCCAACTGACCAGGAATTACCAAAAGCAATTCTCCATCCAGTGCCCCCCAAAAGAACATCAGCTAGCTTTTCCGGGAGGAATTGATGTTTCCATGTTGCCAAGGATTCAGAAAACTGCCAAGCTCTGGAAAGCTGGGTTCGTCTCTATGCTCTTCACTTGCGACTCCTTCTCTTTGGTGATTTGGGATGAAGAAACAAGCAATGTGGGGGGGGGGCTCAAGACTTCTGGGATGTCATCTCTCAGAATCATTGGGGAATACTGGAAGCCACTGCTGGCCTCTGTGCTGAAGGGGAGCCTCCACAAGAGTTGACCCAAACCAAGTATTAACTATGTATTACCAGACACTGGGCAAGGGGGACAGGGAAGAAAAAGTAGGATTTTCACTCACTGTAACAACTAAACCAGTTTAACCCCTCCAAGCTCCACCCATGCACCTAGATTCTCAATACTGACATATTGATCAATCCCTAGCTGGAACACTGCAGCCCACCACCAACCTCCCAGATCACACCTTCCCTGTTCATCCCAGCACCCATACCAGGTTCATGCAGTTCCCACTAAACAGAATTAGACCCCTCCACTCCCTGAGAGCTGCCCATTCATAAAAGCCAGTATCTCCTCCCTCTGCCGGGCAAGTACACACCATAACTTCTTGAGTACCCGTGCCTCTAATTGTTTGTCATGCATTAGTAGTAAGTGCTAACACCTAATAGACTGTGAGGTCCATAAAGGCTGAAACTGCTTCTTAGATGTCTACTGCCTCCTTCCTCCACTCAGCTAGCACCACCAGAAGTCACTTAAAAAAATACTTACAAGCCAGGTGCTGGTAGTTCACACTTGTAATCCTAGCTAATCAGGAGGCTGAGATCTAAAGATCTCAGTTCAAAGCCAGTCTGGGAAGAGGAAAACAATCCCAACTGTTATTTTCAATTATTCAGCAAAAAGCTGGAAGTGGAGATTGGCTCAAGTGGTAGAGAACCAGTCTTAATTTGAAAAAAACCAAACAGCCCATTACTAGCACAAGAAAGAAAAGAAAGACAAAGAAAAAAGAAAGAAAGGAAGGAAGGAAGGAAGGAAAGAGGGGGAGGGAGGGGGAGGGAGAGAGAGAGAAAAGGAAAGGAAGGAAGGAAGAAAGAAAGAAAGAGAGGAAGGAAGAAAGGAAGGAAGGAAGGAGAGAGGGAGGGAGGGAGGGAGGGAGGGAGGAAGGAAAGAAAGAAAATAGAACCACTGGTTTGAAAATTCCAAAGGACCTTTTCCAAAGAGATGGGCCTATATTTCCTGGGCTAACCCTGAATACCTGAGCTCAAGCCGTCTTCCAGCCTCAGCTTCCCAAGTAGCAGAGACTACATGGAGTGCACCATTATGCCCATCTGTTTATTTGTTTGCTTGTACTGATGACTAAACCCAGGGCCTTGTGCATGTTAGACAAGAATTCTACCACTTGAACTTTGCCCGCACTCCTTTATTTTTGTTGTTGATACAGAATCTTGCTTTATTTTGCTTGGGCAAACATTTTTAAAAAAGAAGAAGAAAAGAAAAAGAAAAAAAGTCACTTAGAGTGCAAAGGTTTTGTTTCTTTTCCTAACAACCAAAGGATCTATAGCCCTGAACCCAGAAGAGAAATAAAGTCCACCACCATCCATAGACAAGAACTTGAATTTACGGAAAATGATGGGTTATTGTGCAGAAAGAGGAAGGGAAAACTTTTCACCTAAGTCTAGAGGAACGAGGTGAAGAACAATGGGACTAGCTCGCAGGGAGACTGGCTGCACTACAGGCAGGATTGAGCAGCACTTTGAAATCTTCCACCTTCCCCAGCCCATGCTGTCTCCAGCTCGGTGTACTCTTTCATTTATTCAGGGGTCAGTAGCCAGGGGGGTGGAAAGTTTCATTCTCCAGCTGTTGTGTCATTTCCCTTGATAAGTCCTAAATTGACCGCGTTATCCAGCACCAAAGGAGCCTTTCTGTGGTAGGCATTTTTGATTATGTGCCCTTTCAGGGGACAAAGGCAGCTGTGTCAGAAAACTGCTATGAAGGAAAAGAGGAGGGGGGGGGGGAAGACAATATTATTCTCCCAGCATTGTAATCATGTGCGTCTGAGAAGCTAATGTGAACCTAAAAATAATAATAAATAAGTAAGTAAATACATAGAGATTAGGCGAGACTAGGGAGAAAGAAAGTGTAAAAGATGATTTCCTGTTTCCTTCGAGGCTTAAGTCTTAGCACGAAAGATGCCGATTGCCACACTTCAAATGGAAGCCTTAAAAACAAATAGAGTATGTTTGCACAATGTCTGACCCTGTGGATGGGCAGCGTGGAGTGGCATTGAGGGAGCTCTCTCTACTCTTCCCTGGCTGGGTTGTTTCTTGTTTGCTAGCCCTAAGAGGTGAGCTCTTGCCCAGAAGAAGGGACAGGGGTACGCAGGCTCTCTTTGAGCTAGAAACATCTGGAAGTCTGCTTGGTGACGGTGTGAGGTGTGTCTGAAAGCGCTGGTCCCCCTACCTGGGAAGAAACGCTCTGGCCGGGCCGCGTGTTGACATCTTGATTCCATTTTCAAAACCGTCTCCACAGATCCTCAGACGGCAGCGGGTGAGGTGGATGGGGTTAATCTGGAGGAGATCCGAGAATTTGCCAAAGCTTTTAAAATCCGTCGCCTGTCGCTTGGCCTGACCCAAACTCAGGTGGGACAAGCGCTCAGTGCTACCGAGGGCCCCGCCTACAGCCAGTCGGCCATCTGCAGGTAACCGCGCCGCATGCCACACCTGTCCTGGCTGGCACGGGCCTCCTTTGCCTTCCAGGCTCAGCTCTGCGTCGGGCAGAGCATGGGAACCGAGTGTGGGGTAGCTGTATGTATGCAAAGGAAGATACCACTGCGCTGGGTGACTCAGGTCAACTCACCAAGAACGTCCAAGGCTGTGCGGTTGGAAGGACACCCCCCCTGGGCCAGGCCCTCTCTCCTGGTCCCCTGTGCTGCAGGCAGCAGGCAAGCACCCAGAGCACATTGCTCTCACCCCCCCCCGCCCCTCTTCCAGAGAGGAATATCAGGATTTCCTACAAAAACACACATTTAAAAAAATAAGAATAAATTAACCATCTCACAACAGACCTTGAAGGATTTTTTTTTTTAATTTGCCTTTCCAAGCACAGCTTTCAAAGTATTTTGGGGGGTTGTTATTGTTATTATTCTTTTGTTGTTGTTGTTGTTGTTGCTTCTCCAAAAAGAAGCAGCTCTGAAAAGGATGGTGAAAATCTGGCCTAACCCTGCCCATCCCCCACACCACCACCCAAAACCATCCTCCCTCTCCCCCCCCAAAAAAAAAATTGTTTAAAAAAGTAAATAAATGACTAAATCCAGCCTTGGTTGTACTCAAGTTGATCTGAGTTAAGTCGTGGGAAGGAAGCAGACCCCGTGCATGCGTGTGTGTATGTGTGTGTCTGTGCAACACTAATCCCATGTTTATGCATGAGGTAACGAAGGCACTCTGTAAGAGCTTTTTCCTCTTGGGCAATGCCTTATGAATCCTCTTCCATCAGGAAAAGCCAAGGAACCAACTCTAAACTCATTTAAGTGGATTTTGTTCTTGGTGATCCATGAAATGCTGTCTTTTTATCTGCTCTTTATACTTTTAATGTATTCCCCAAAGGACGGAAGTGTACTTTCCCTGCAGTTTAAGACTAAGGTTATAAATAACATCAGTATGGGGTAGTAGCTTGCAGCTCACATTTTGCTCAATGATTTTCCATAAAACCCATTGATTGTTGTTAAATACAAAAAGCACCATAGGATCCTCTCACTTCTATGGTCTCCCCTACTGTTTTTTCTTATAAGATACCTCCCTGTAGAAAATAACCTTTATTCAGTCTATACAAGGATACTACTGCTGGGGAATTTGTTTCAAGGCTTGTATATGTTATTCCAAACAACATGTACCAAAGCCTCAACACTAACAAGCACCGATGATATGAATACCCTCGCTTCCTGGTGGGAAACATTAATATTGTTTCATCTTGACAGCCCAGTGATAAAGGCAGGCACAGGTTTTTCTTTTTTTTTTTTTTTTTTTTGTTTCTTGAAGTTGTTGCTGACTTAACTATGGCTGCTGAATTTCTCTTTGGCTTCTTTTTAGCCCTAAACTATGATTTTCTTTTATTGAGTAAAGTGCTCTTTAACTCTGGTGCTGAGCATTATTTGGGTATTTCCAATCAGATAATGTTGATTTCCAAAGTTTTCCCCACTCTAGGATGGAGAGAAATAATGTAGGTATTTTACCATATAACAAGGGAACGATATATATAAAAAATAAGATATATATCCTGTAACAAATCATGGATATGGAATAGATCATATCATGAATCCGATGCCTGGACTTTGGGGACCTTCCATCCGCTTCCAGCATTTGGGTAATGTCATTTATGTCAGATTAACCCATTAGTTCATTAAAGTCTTAGAAAGAGCAAGGTCTGACACTGGAAAGATTTCAGTGAATTCACAGAGTGGGAAGAAATGTGCTCTGGAGGAGAGTCCCTGGAGTGTCACTGTTCCCTCAGCAAGCAGTGGGGACTCTGGAGCACTGTGAGGTCCCTACTCATCAGACACACAGGAAGAAGATGCCAGCAAAATTCCCAACATCCTCTTCACAAGTTCTTGTCACTTGCCAGGATGCTGTCAAGCCGGTAGTGATGCTCCCAAGAGTTCATTCAAGCTCTGAGCCTTTTATGGCGAATGCTGACCATAGGCAGAACATGGCTTTGATGGAGGGAGCTAGCCACGGAAGGCAAATAGACTTCCTCCCTCTTTGACCTGAAGTTAGATTTAAAAAATAAATAAATAAACAAGTACTTCTTCAAACCCTAGTGGAAGACAATGCCATGAAATTCTCATGAAAATTTAATACTATTTCTGCTGCTTATCATAATGTAAGAGACCTAAGAAGAAGAAAAAATGCACTGCCAAAAGTAAGCTTATGGCACATAAAGAGAGCCCAACCTTCCTTGTCTTTTTGCAAGCATCGTCTGTCATAAAACATATCGGCACTAACGCAGGTTTATTTCAGCCCCTGGAAAACAGACTATTATAATAAGACACACTCTGCAGTCACATCACTTATTCTTTTCAACTGCATGGAATACTTTCAAAGAGAGAGAGGGAAGAAGTTGTCAAACCTGGAAGGTTGTAGATTTGGATTTAAGATAAACAAATAGATAAAAGGACCCAAGCCTTTTTCATATCTCATTGAGTGTGTGTATGAATTGAGGGCTGAGATGACCTCTGGAAACACCCTATATAATTTTGTCCAGGATGTTTCATTTTTTTTTCAAGTCAATGCAGCAAAAAATTGCTGATGATGATTGATCTATATAGAAGACCTCATTTGGAGCAATTGATATCATTCGAGTAGAATTTCCAGATCTCACACATTCGACACAGCTTGATGCCCTGGACACAGAGCGCCATTAGGCTTGGTGGTGAGTGGAAGGTCCAAGGAGACCTTAGCACAGCCAGGCCTGGGGTATTCCATGGTAATTACAGCGTACCCAGCTGTTTAAGCCAGAATTGCAAAGTAACATGTGGGCTGTGTTTTACCTGGAAAGAGGGGGGGGGGCGTGTTGTTAAGTTACACCTGGTGAAAATCGTTACAGGAGAGAGAAAGAGAGTGCTTAAATTAAGACACGAAATGGTGCTTTAAAAAAAAAAAAAAAAGACAGTCAGGAAGAGAAACTTCCCCCTGTTGCCATCCAACTATTATAGCAGCTGAAACATGTTCATAACCAACACTGAGGAGGGATTTAAAGAAAACCAAGGGGGAAAGATCATTATTTTAAGTGAAACATTGTGATGATGGTTGCTTGGATGTCATTTCCTTGGGTTCTGCTGATGGGAAAGTAAAGCTGATACTATTAAAATCAAAGCTTGGAAGGAAAAGACTGATTGATAAGTTGTTTGTGTTTCCGTCCATCCATTGTGACAGTGTGTGCCTGCGTGTGTGCATGCATGTGTGTCGCATGCCCTGGCATGGAGCATGTTTGGGTGGGTGGGAGCTGGCTTGGGCTGGACTGGGCTGGCTACCTTGCAGCTGGCTGCTAATCTGGAGTGAATTCGCCCTGCCAGGCAGTCAGGCAGGCAGGCAGGAGGTCCACCCTGGCAGAGGACTCAGTGTAAGACTGTTCTTTCTCAATTCTCCCCCCAGACACACCATCCTGAGAAGCCACTTTTTCCTACCACAGGAAGCCCAAGAGAACACTATAGCTAGCAGTCTGACAGCCAAACTGAACCCTGGCCTTTTGTATCCTGCCAGGTTTGAAAAGCTGGACATCACCCCTAAAAGTGCCCAGAAGATCAAGCCGGTGCTTGAGCGGTGGATGGCTGAGGCTGAGGCCCGCCATCGAGCAGGTATGCAGAACCTGACCGAGTTTATCGGGAGTGAACCATCCAAAAAGCGCAAGCGGCGCACCTCCTTCACCCCCCAGGCCCTTGAGATCCTCAATGCCCACTTTGAGAAGAACACACACCCCTCTGGGCAGGAAATGACCGAAATTGCCGAGAAGCTGAACTATGATCGGGAAGTAGTTAGGGTTTGGTTCTGCAATAAGAGGCAGGCCCTGAAGAACACAATTAAACGCTTAAAACAGCATGAGCCGGCCACAGCAGTCCCTCTGGAGCCCCTAACAGACTCTCTAGAAGACAACTCCTAAAGAGATGACCACCCATTTTTCAGGAGGAACAAAATGGCATCCTTAGAATTACACCAAAAAAGAAAGAAGAAGGAAAAGAAGAAAAGGAAGAAGAAGAAGAAGAAGAAGAAGAAGAAGAAGAAGAAGAAGAAGAAGAAGAAGAAGAAGAAGAAGAAGAAGAAAGAAGGAGAAGAAGAAATTTTTAAACAACCCCAGGCATTATCACACTATATGTAAAGGAGTAAGAAAACTACTACCCAGAGGACAGAATGGTTTATAATGTACATCAGTTTTCCAAAAAGGAAAAAAAAATAGTATTTGTTTTGGTTTGTTTATTTGCAGATTTCTAAATAAGGAATAACACCACATGGAAAGGTGTGAGGTAAAGGCATTACCTCATGCATCTGGCTCCCCAAAGCCTGTTTGTTTGTTTTTTTTTAAAGCAAACCAAATGATAACCACATACTTTTTTTCTGTAGATGATGAAAATATTTAAAAAAAAGAAAAACTAAACCCAAAAACAAAAACCAACCACACCACTACAAACTTGTCTCTGTTCAAAGTGAATACAAGCCTGCCACCTGGAGGAGCGGCTGCGCCCCGTCAGGGACTGCGTACTGATTCACTCCAAAACCTATTAACCAAAGTCAGACACACGGCACTGCAAACCCCATCCACCCTTCGCTGCGTGTATAATTGTGTTGGCGCATTCTTCCATCTGTACTCATGGAAGCCTGATTTCTCCCACCTTTCCCACTCTGCCAGCTTGGTGGGGGCCTCTCTTGAAGCCATCCTGTGAGGCTCCCTCTTGATTCATCTTGGGGGGTGGAGGGGGAGCCCGGAAGGGGAGGAAAGGGGAACTTCTTCCTTTTTCTGGCTTTTGGGGGTTTTGTTTGTTTGTTTTAGGGGGCATTTTGGATCGTGTGCCAAATCATTCATTGTTTTCTTCTCACTATGACTTGTGGGTTTGAGAAAAGAAAGTGGAGCCTGCATTTCCCCTGCCTTCCCCTATTTCTCCATCTCCCTCTCTCGGGGCTCCTGGAAGGGCACAAACATGGGAGAAACAGCGTCTTTTTTACTTAGATCCTACTGAAATGCAGGAGAGACTCCAAATTAAGTAGAGCTGTGCTCGATGAACTGTCAACACTGGTATTCGGCTGTAATTGTGCTCACTGTCCACACCAAGCTTGGGATTTTTCTGTCTGTTGGCCACGTACATGGAGAGCTGACCAAAACTAATTTTGTAATATAAACATAAGCTGCACATGTGGTTCAATACTTACATCTATGTTATGCTTCTGTGCAAAGCAATTTCTCTCAGAAGTCTGATAGCCAAAGAAATGTCTCAAGGTTTCAGTCCAAATACACACAGGCATGTACACACCCATAAGCACCCACACAAAGAAACAGGCAACAAAAAAATGCTAGCAAGTAGATCGTCAAGGGCCGTAGGGTACTCTACTAATCTCACATTTTCTGCTGCTTCTTTCATCTGAAAGCAACGGCCAAGATTTTTCTTTTTTTCAGGGAAGCAGTCTTTCTTGGGATGCATAAATGGAGCCCAAAAAACAAAAATGACAGGGAAATTTAAACCACTGGAATTGGGGAGAGGGCTGGGTTCTTGAACAGAAAGTGAGTTTTCACAGTGAAGTGTCTCCATTAATGAAAAAATCTCCATTAATGAAAAATCTATAGAAGTAGCTCATATGAGATACAGAATAGCTTTCATTGTTAGAACTAGAAGATAAGTTCATTTTAAATAAACAACTTCGCTAAGGCATAGGGGACCATGGTACCCTATGAAGCCCAAAGAATATTCTGAGAATGGCTGGCTAGGTGAACACTTGGAATTGTAGCTGATGCTGTCACCCAGGTAGAGACAGGAGACATTCTGTCAAAGGAGCAGGCAAAAGAGAACCATCAATTTGCCTATCATCAAAATGTCAATATTGATGCATCAGTAATTAATAATACTATTCATGCACTATCTAGAGGCAAATCATGATCAAGAAAAGAGAAAATTCCACCTTGACCTTCCCCACTGAAATTTCACTTCCTGGGGCCCCTAATCCACCCCTCCCCAAGGAGTTCTACTTGCTTCTTCTCTTGGTTCCTTGGTTGTTTGGGTAACTCAGACCATATATTTGTCTTCTCAAAAGATTCATGTAGCCAAACGCCAGTGGTTCATGCCTGTAATTCTAGTTACTCAGGAGGCTCAGATCTGAGGATCAGGATTCAAAGCCAGCCTGGGCAAAAAACTGTGACACTCTTATCTCCAACTGGTAGAATGCTAGCCTTGAGCACCAAAGTTCAGGAACAGTGCCCAACCCCAGAGTTCAAGCCCCAGGACCAGCCCAAAACAAAACAAAAAAAAAGATTCATGCAGCAATCAGGTCACTGTAAACAAGGAAATTTGTAATAATACCAGTAACCCTGGAAATGGGACTGGTCTCAAAGAAAGATGTTTTGTCTCACCTGGCTGATGCCAATTGGACCACAACTATCAATGCCAAAAATATCATTTTTGCCACCACAAAACCTGTATAAAACCTATACCCCAGGACCCCCCAAACTTTATTGATCAAACTTAATCAATGTTATTGATCAAACCCCCAAACTTTATTTGTATTCTCCTAGGACCTGCTCCAAATTCTATCAAGAAAAGCTCCCCTAAGAAGAGAAATTAACAAGGTAACATATGATAGATGCTAAATGATTAACTATGTACCAGCAGTGGTCACAAAAGGCCTGTTCAGCTCTGAGGTCTATATTTGGGAGGTGAAAATGTGAAATAAAAGCAGACATCCCAAGTAGAATGAAAAAATGTATTCATCCCGCAGTCATGAAACCATTCATGTGCAGTGATTTTTTTTATAGTTTTCTAATTTTGTATTGTTTTATAAATTATTTATAAAGTGTTGTAATGCTTCTTATATTAATTTTTTACAGATAAAATTTTTTGCTACAAGGCCTAAAAAGGTGCCTAAACAGATTCTTAGGAATATAAATTATACAGTATAACACATAAGTCTTTGAGCCCACACCTATTGCTGAATTTTATTATGAATTTTTCTCATTTCCTCTTGTAAACAACTTTCCTATGCCAATAACATTTATGCGTCCTTTACGTTTCCATGAACTGAAGGTTTAGGTTGCCACCAACAACAAAATAATAATAATAATAAAAGCCACTTTGGCCATATGTGATTGTATTTCAAGCTTTAAAATCTCATACATTATTTTCATCTTCATTTCCTTCAGTATTTGATGAGAAAAATGACAATGGATACTGTGTTTCACATTGTGGGGTTTTGTTTTTATTTTCTCTCAACCAAAAAGAAATATTTTGAACAGTTCAAGATTTCACTTGCATTTGCAAGTTTGGGTTTCTTTATGTTGTAATCACATGGTTACACACTCAGACACACACACATACACACACACACACACACACA